TTTTAATTTGACCAGAGGGACAGAGAGAGAGAGAGTGCGCAAGCCACCAGGTCTGTGACTCGAACAGCAGTCAGCTATGTGGGAGTCCAGCACCGTTAACCACCACACCATCTGCCAGCCCCTTAACATCGAGTGTCACCTCCTCAGGGAGGCCTTTCCTGACCACTCCTCTAGTGTAAGCTGGGGTCCCCATTATGCTTTCCCAGAGCTCCCCGTACTGCCAGTGTGAGCGCAGGATGTACTGAATTTATCACTTACGTGACTCACTGCTTATCATTTGTCTCTTCCCGTCAGAACATAGGCTCCAAGAGGCCCAGGTTGTTGTTTTGTTTTTGCTATAGGGCGCGCGCTCACCAGACAGACAGAGAGAGACAGAGAGACAGAAAGCGAGAAACCACCCCCAGGGGGGATGGTCACGCCGCAATCCCTTCTCCTCCATTCTCCTTTCAGGATCTTGGGCACACACGCATACATGCCCAGCGTGAGTTTAAGCCACCAGGTCTGGGACTCGAACCACAGCCAACTACATGGGAGTCCAGCAACATAGCCATGACGCTAACTGCTAGTCCCAGTTGTTGTTGTTGTTGTTTAGCATTATTTTTTATTTTATTTATTTATTCCTTTATTTTAATTTGACCAGAGAGAGCCACACACAGAGAGAAAGGGAAAGCGAGAAAGCAAGCCACCAGGTCCAGGACTTGAAACACGGTTGGCCATGTGGGAGTATCCAGCACCTTAACCACTATGCCACCTGCTGGTCCCATCATTCCTTTATTTTAATTTGACCAGAGAGAGACAGAGAGAGAGAGGGAGTGAGAAAGCAGGCCACCAGGTCCAGGACTCGAACCATGGTCAGCCATGTGGGAGTGTCCAGCGCTTTAACCACCATGCCACCTGCTGGTCCTGTTGTTGTTTTTTAAGTTTATTATTTTCTTTCTTCCATGAGGATGGGTGCACACACGTACATGCGTACAGCGTACATGCGTGAGAAAGAGAGAGAAACAGTATCTTCAGCAAAACAGCAGGATCCTTACAAGGTGATGCAGCTCCAGCTTCAGCCAACCCCATCACAGACACCCCCGTGCTGAGCTGCCTCGGGTGGTCTCCACACTTGAACTCAGAACCTTCACATGTGGGTCAGACTCAAAGAGCGTCCCGTCACTTTTGCGCCACTGTCCAATCCCCAGGGTTCATCTATTATATTTATTTAGGTTTTTGCCATAGGGTGCATATGGTTGCTGGAGAGAGACATTGAGAGAGACGGAAAGAGACAGCGAAAGTGAGAAATCACCCCCCAGGGGCAATGGCCACACCACAATCCCTTCTCTTCCATTCTCCTCTCGGGATTGTGGGCACGCACGCACATGCACCCGGCATGGTTTTCAAGCCACAGGGTCCTGTGCCTTAACCACCATGCCACCTGCTGGCCCCCTAGGGTTTAATTATTTATTTTTAAAAAGAATTATTTTATTTAAATTTATTTATTCATTTATTTAAATTTGACCAGAGAGGGACAAAGCGAGAGAAAGAAAGTAAGAAAGGAAGCCACCAGGTCTGGGACTTGAACTGTGGTCTTGTGGGAGTCCAGCACCCTTAACCACCACACCATCTGCTGGCCCCATAAGGTTTATTTTGAAGGTTTACTTATCTACATCTTTCCTTCATGAGGGAGAGACACACACAGATACACACCCTCAACAGGATCTTCACACACAATCCTTCCCACAGTCCTGCAGCCAGAAAGGTTCACAGGTGCATGGTCAGACAGACCCTGGACTCGAACCTAATACCTCCTCATATGGCATCTGGCATTGCACAGAACGCCCCTGCTGCCTGAGCAGGAGCCCCTACTACTTGTGCCGTCATGACTAGGCTGGCCCAGGATGTTTGTCTACTTGGTCATTGCTCTGTTCTTGGCATCTCATGGCACCGAGTAGCAGCTCAGTAAATATTCGTTAATGAAGTGAATCGGCCGGTCCTATCCTGACCAAGGACCAGTGCAGAGCCTGGAAAATGCTGCTCAGATTATGCTGAATAGTTGGTTGCTAGCCTCAGAAAATGTAGGCATGGGAAGTGGGAGGGAAAAGGTCTCTTACGTCTCTCCCACAGCTGCGGGGAACCCTGTACAACACTGGCCGCCATGTCTCCTTCCTGCCTGCGCCCCGGCCCGTGGTCAACGTGTCTGGGGGTCCCTTGCTTTATAGCCACCGACTCAGTGAACTGCGACTGCTGTTTGGAGCTCGAGACGGAGCGGGCTCTGAACACCAGATCAACCACCAGGGCTTCTCTGCAGAGGTGCTGGACACTGAATGCCTCCCCCACCCTCCCCCACCCCTAAGCACTTATCATCAGCCCTACTCGGGACCCCAAATGCCTAGAGCTGGCTTCAGTCCCCCTCCCCTTCTGCTGGGGACCCCTGCTCTCTGTGCTCCCCACCCAGGTGCAGCTCATTCACTTCAACCAAGAGCTCTACGGGAACCTCAGCGCTGCCTCCCGAGGCCCCAACGGGCTGGCCATTCTCAGCCTCTTTGTCAATGTGAGCAAGGGAGGACGAGCTGGACACCTGGGGTCTGGGGTCAAAGGGAAGAGGGTGCGGGAGGGCCCTGGAGGAGGGTTTTGGGGGCTTGGGCTCCTGGGCTCCTGCCTCACTTCAGACGCCCACGCAGGTGGCTGGTAGCTCCAACCCATTCCTCAGCCGCCTCCTTAACCGGGACACCATCACTCGCATCTCCTACAAGAGTAAGTCCCTGCTTGGTGTGTTGGGGGGCGCACATGAGGGGGGTTCGAGAAGGCCGCCCCGTTTCACCTCGGTCTGGTATTTCCACAGACGATGCCTACTTTCTCCAAGACCTGAGCCTGGAGCTCCTATTCCCCGAGTCCTTTGGCTTCATCACCTATCAGGGCTCTCTCAGCACCCCGCCCTGCTCGGAGACTGTCACCTGGATCCTCATTGACCGGGCCCTCAATATCACCTCCCTCCAGGTGACCCATCCGCCTCCCTACCCCGCACCAAGGCCGAGTCTCCCTGCCTTCCCTTTCTTCATTGACTGGGGACTCTAGGACCACAGATGGCGTAATGCTTATGCAGCTGGACTTCCACATGGCCGACTGCTGCAGTCTGAACCCAGTGGCTTCAAACTCACGCGGTGTGTGTGTGTGTGTGTGTGCGCTCAAAACCTCAGAATGGAGACGGGATTGCAGCATGGTCATCCCCCCAGGGGGTGATGTCTTGCTTTCTGTCTCTCTCTCTGTCTCTCCAGGAAGCACACAAGCCCTATAGCAAATGTCTCTCTTAAAAAAAAGAGGGTCAGGGAACCAGCAGTTAACGTAATGGCTATGTCGCTGGACTCCCACGTAGTCGACCACAGTTCTGGTCCCGGACCCGGTGGCTTAAAACTCACACCGGGTGCGTGTGCGTGCGTGCCCAAGATCCCGAGAGGAGAATGGAGGAGAAGGGATTGTGGCGTGACAATCCCCCCTGGGGGGTGATTTCTCGCTTTCTGTCTCTATGTCTCTCTCTGTCTGGCGAGCGGACGCACCCTATAGCGAAAATCTCTCCAAAAAAGAAAAAAGAGGGTCAGACACCCCTGGGGCGGGGGTGGAGCTGAGCAAGGCTCCGCCCATCTGCTCCCAGGGGCGGGGACTCCTCGTGACGTCACCAGGGCTATTCCGGATTCACTCCTAGTTTTCCCGGCAGATGCACTCCCTGAGACTCCTGAGCCAGAATCCTCCATCCCAGATCTTCCAGAGCCTCAGCGGTAACGGCCGCCCCCTGCAGCCCTTGGCCCACCGGGCCTTGAGGGGCAACAGGGACCCCCGGCACCCCGAGAGGCGCTGCCGAGGCCCCAACTACCGCCTGCATGGTATGGTCCAGTCTGCATCCTCCGCGTCTTGTTCTAACGGTTCATGTGTCTTCCCGCGGTGTCTAAAGATACAGTCCCACTTGCTTTGCTGCCTCTGGATGGTCCGCTCGCTCTCCCGCTCCCTACGTGTCAGCTTGGTGCAGTCCCCCTCCCCGTCTCGGACCCTTGCTGGCCCCTGACTTGTCTTTCCTCTCCACTGCTTTCCAACGTGGTATATACCTGTCCTTAAAATTATTCTCCCCTCGTGCTTCTTATTCCTGTGGCTTTCCAATATGGGACAGTGCAGCTCCCGCCCCGTCTACATGTGGTACGACCCTATGCTGTTTCTTAGTCTGACATCCTCCCAGACTGAGGATCGACCTGGTACAATCCCTTTTCCTCCCTACTGCCCCCTTGTGGTTCAACCTAGGATCTGCAGGCCACCCCTCTGGCTTCTCAACATGGTTCAGCCCACCCCAGCCCCCAGAAATACCGAACGCTCAATCTGGACCCTGTTTCACCCTCCTGCTGTGGTTCAGTCTGACCCAAACCATTTCCCCTTAATTTGGTACATTCCAGTCTCCCCTTCGCAGCTTCTCTGTGGTAGAGCTCCCTGCTCGTCTTCGGCGCGTTGCGTTCTAAACTAACGTCCCCTACTGGTGTCCTCTGTCTTGCAGTGGATGGTGCCCCTCGTGGTCGCTGAGACTGCCCAACGAGGACTGCGCCCACCGGTCCCAAGCCTCTCCACAAGGGGGGAGTCATCCCCAAAACAAAGCTATTAAAGGGACAGAATACTTCCTGTTTCTCAGTGGTCTGATTCTAGGCGCGGTGGGGAAAACACTGGGACATTATAGAACCACAGCCTTCTTCCAGAAACTAATTTTCCTCTTCCTAAGCTTCAGCTACTCGGTTGTTTCGCTGCAGATTTCCCAACACAATTGTTTGGACAAGCGGCTCCTTTAAGTGACGCCTCTCCTCCCCACCCCACCCCCAACAGGCAGCACGCGCAGAGCCATGTGCTTCCCCCTCCCGCCTGCCTTATTGGCCCGAATTGGGTCACGGTCCCGCCCCCAGCGCCGCCTCCCATTGGGCAAATGTAGGTCAGTGTCCCGCCTCCCTCCAAAAGGCAAGGCAACTTCAGGCACCGAACCCTCACGCGCCCTCCCGGGCCTTGGCGGATCCAGGGGCTCTATTGGCTGTGCGTCTCCAGGGGTAGAGACAGGATTGGCCCGTGCTTGCAGCCGGAGGGAGGCACGCGGCTGGGGTGTATGGCAAAAGAGGCGGGAGGGACGCAGGCGGGGGGCGGGAGGAGGGGCGCGCGCAGTGGCGTCGGGTGTTTTGGTTCGGATTTTTTTTTTCCGCGAAAGAAGTTTGCTTTGGCCACGCCTCAAGGCGGCCGCCTCCTCCTGCCCCCTCCTCCGCCCCTCCGCGCACACCTCTTGGTGCAGATTGCAAAGCGCCTTCCGTTGTGAGAGCTGCAGATTTTGCAAGAGTCAGGCTCGCCCACCTTGTAGAAGGAGCGCCTTGTGTCCCCTCGCATCCTTGGTTGCAAAGAGCCCGTCGCCTCATTTGGTCACCCCCTCGTCCAGACTGCATGATCTCCAGACCCTCTTGAGTTACACGTTTCTGCACCGAGGACCGCAAATCCCTGCCGCTCCTAGGATTTCCAACCTTCTGGATACTGGGGGCTTGCAAGCTACGCTCGCCCGCCCCAGGGCAGACACTCGCCTGAACCACAGGATTGTGCCCGTGACTGGCAGGTCAGCCTTTCGCTTCTCCATGAGCCCGTGAGCCTGGGGGCAGGTGCCAGATGATGGCGCGGCCTGTGAGCGACAGGACCTCGACCCCCCTGCTGCTGGGCGGCCCGACTGGGCCCCCCCCTAGCGGGGGAGCGCTGCTTGGGCTGCGAAGCCTTCTGCAGGGAACCAGCAAGCCCAAAGAGCCGGCCAGCTGTGAGTTCTAGCCCCCACCTCACCTAATTCAGACACCGCACTCCCTTAGGGGCTCAAAGTGCTGGGGGAGCCACAGATATCTCCTATGTGCTGGGAATCCGTCTTTCCAACCTTTCTGGAATTACTCAAGTGTTTAAGCCCCTCGATTCCTCAGCGCCTAGCACCCCAAAGTGCTGGTTCTCAAGCTGATCTACCTTGAGGACCCAGAAGTCCAGGTCCCGTGTCCACTTCACGGAGGACACAGGGGTCTAACTCACAGCTCCATCTTTCTTTCGGTCCGGGAGTCTGGACCCCTGGGGTTCAGGGAGAAGGGAGGGGGTGTGTCAGATGCTCACACGGTGGTGACACGGGCTAGGGCGGGGCCTCACGGGGTCACATGGAGTCTAGGGATGAGGAATGTGCCACAGGAATAGAGCCCCTTTTTGCCCCTTGCAGGCTGTGGGGGAGGGGAAAGGGGTACAGTGTGAAGGGGTGCGGAGTGGGGAAACTACAGAGGAATTACAGAGCTGTCATTTTTTCTCTCACCTGCCCAACCCTCCACCTACCCTGCTCCTGCCCCTCTTTCTGAACTTGCGTCCCTCTTCTCTGGGTTACTGTCTTTGTGTCTCTCCCCTGGCCTCTGTCCTCATCTTTTCGTCTATCTCTGTCCTCCCCTCTTCTGAGTCTCTGTCGCTGTCTCTGTTGGTGCTTGCTTCCATTCTTCCCTCTGGGTCTCTGTCCCTCTCTGAATCTCTGTTTTCTCCTCTCTCTGGGCCCATCACTCCCTCTCCTGTTCCTTCCTTCCGGTCACTGTCCCCTGTCTCTCTGACTCGGCGGTCTCTCTATCTCTACACCTGCACCCCCTCCCCCTCGTCCCGTCTTTCCCTGGCCCGCAGGTCTTCTGAAGGAAAAGGAGCGCAAAGCCGCTCCGCCGCCAGCCTCAGCCCCGGGGCCGGGCCTGGAGACCGCGGGCTCGGCGGATGCCCCAGCTGGGGCGGCGGTGGGCGGTGGGTCCCCGCGGGGGCGCCCCGGGACCGTGCCTGGGCCGGGCCTGTTGGCGCAGCTGGTGTGGGGGGGC